GGATGGTCACGTTTCCAGCTATATCATTATTATTTCAAAATGTATTCTGTTTCCTTTTCTATCAACTTCACATTCTTGAAATTACATTCCTGGTGCTCAGGGAAGCTACCCAGAACCTCCCTGCCAAATCCTCAGATGTACACAATTCTTTCTCCTTTAAACTCTCTGCTTACTGAGAACCTTGGCATTCAAATTTCACCCTATTCAAAAGTTAATTTTTTTCTTCTCCATGAAAACATTTCCCAAAAATCCTTCACTTCCACATTATATAGAAACTCTATAAATAAGTAAAAATACATATTTAGAGAGCTCCCCAATGAAATAACCCTTTTGATCCTAGTAACGTAAGACAAAAACATCAATATTTATCATGGTTGGGGGGGGGTTCTTGCATTAATAAGATGAATCTCAATTATTATTAAATGTAAAAAGATATTAGATGATTTGCCATCTACCTTTTTTAATACTCAAGTCCATTTTACCACTGGTAAATTAGGGTCTTAGAAAGTCCTAAATGCTTTGCCCAAGGTCATGCAATGAGTTAACAGGAGACGCAGGACAAGCACCGAGGTTTGATAACTCCATCGTGAATGTCCTAAATCTTAATGGTATGGTGGGCTCACGATATTTTAAGCCATGCACGGCCTGAGTCCCAGATCTAACAATCAAGTGCAGCCTGCCACTGGGAGCGAGCGCCGTGCTCAAAAAGCAACACATCACCTGACAAGCACGTTTTGCAGAAAGGCAGGGAAGACTACCCCACAAAATAGATTCATGGGTGAGCTGATAGTCGGGCCAGCAGAGCAAAGGGCAACGGTCAATAAATTACATGCTCTAAAACTGAATTCTGCAGACAGTTTTCAGCATGATTTTTCTGTTTCACTTTCACCATCAGCTGTGAGCAGTTTCCAAGTGTGAAATCGCCTAAGAGAGGAAGCAAAGGTGTCATTTGACATCTGGGAGTGTAGAAACTGGGCTACCGTAAAAAGCATTCGGACTTCTTCAATTTACACACATATTCACCTGCAAATTCTCAAGTCAGAAGAGTATTCAGTGAGAAATATCAATGTAAATTTCAAGCATTTATAAAGGCACACAATGGGTGGAACAAGAAGGTGAAGGACACGCCAATCAGATGCTGTATCACCTTGTTAAGACTAGAATAGGAAACTTGAGTGATTCTATTAGCATAACAACAGACATATAAACAATTTTACTCACTTGTCTTAGAAAGCATATTAAACTTTGTGTTTCATATGCTTAATATTATAGGTTCCATTTCCTAGCTTCTGTTTTATGATAAGTGTCAAGAATGCTTAGGAAAAAAAAACAACCAGTAAGAGGAAAACGCTTTGACTGTTTTTCCTTTATACTTAAAATACTGTTAAAAAAAAACTTACACTGTTATAACAGTTCCACTGATAAAACACAATCCTTCATGTGTGTGCCTGTGTGTGCATATTATGTGCACACATGTGTGGGAGTGCAAATATAAATAAAATCAGAGTAACTACAAGTCCTCTAAAGTAACAATCAATTTGCTCCAGCTTTTTATCTAGACTCTCTCATAATGAAAACAGGAGCTCCTATCCAGGGTCCCATACCGTCCCAGGTGCCTCCGACATGGAAGCCAGACCACACTGCCTCTGGGTCACATTACAGAAGCTGTTCCTGCCTCAGGGACTATTTCTTTGCACTTTCTCTTCCTGCCCTCCGCTCTGGGAGTCTCTGAAAGGAACCCTTTGCCACGGATGATGTTTATTTTAAATAAACTCCTGGAGAATCATCCCAGATAACCTAAGAGCACACGGAACCTCAGGGAGGCTCCCACTCTGAGATCAGTACAGGGCGCATCAGTGATTCATATTCTCAAGGCCTCTTGATGGGCCTGCAGCTGCAGCCATTTATTTCCTGGCTTTTCCACAGATGGAGACAGAGAAAGCGCCACGGTTTTTGTCTTTTTGTTGTTGGATTTGTTTTCTTTAACATGAAAAAGTGGCGACTTAAAAAAAAGTTCACTTTGCTGTAGAAGCTTGTGACGATCAGACATCCTCACTGGTGTTCACTGTCAAAATCACTATGACTTATGAAGGTCTAAGATTGCAAAGTTGGCAGAAACTAGACTTAAATAACAGAAGGTGATCATTTGCATTTCAAAATTTATCTATCTTGTTTTCCCCTCAATTAGACCAAAACATGTTGATTCACAGGTTTCTGTGTGTGTTTTTTCTTTTCTAAACTTATTTATAGAGCAGAATAATGGCCCCCCTGCTAGTTTGGCATTTGCTCAAGTTTCTGTCCATGTAAATCGAATCTGTTACTGGAAATTTTTCTCAAAATATCAAGGCACATCATCCACAAGATGAAAGAAACACACTGATATTCTAAAATCCAGGGCAGGTGGGTAGTGTTTTTAGGACAAACATGTGATAAGGATTCCCAGGAGGGCGATGCGGCAGGGTAGAGGTTGCACGCTGTTCAAACAGAAGTGATCGCCCTCATCCTAATCTGTGGCCACTTTACTCTCTAACCAAACATCAGCTGCTTGCAAGCTCGGGAGCGGCCCGGACAGTGTTGCTAAGGTGAGAGGTGGGGAATGGGAGGGCAGGGGCTGTGTCAGGAGAGCTGACGCAGCCAGCATTGTTTCCCAAGACAGAGGAAAAGCCTAAGGACTGGGGTCCCAGGCACATGCCAACTGTGAGTTTTGGGGTGCTGAAATGCCAGCACATTGCCATTAGCTCCCCCACCCTGACAAGAGGGAGGAAGGCCTCTTGTTTTCATCGGCATCACTGCAATTCAGTTTTGAGACAAACAGGAATGGACACACTTGTGCCCCGATTCCCGGCATTTTAAGCAAGGAATAGGAGCACAGCCTGAGCTGAGCTCTGCCATGCTCGCTTTATGCCACCGTAGGCAGGACACCAGTGCTCCTGCTCATGAGGCCATGGCTGGGTGTGGTGTGTCATGCTGACACGACAAATTAACAGGCCCAAGAAGGAAGGTACTTTCAGGTGGTTTCACGCATGCCCTAATGCCAGGACAATGGTGCACTCACCAAGCTTGCAAGTACAATTCTTTCACGCAAATAATTAAAACAAAGCCCTTCTTCCGATGGCAGCTTTTTTCAAATGTTAGTGAAGGACAACCTGGGAGATGACAGCAAAAATCCATTAATAGCAGACTGCCACCTCCTGGTAAACTAGGAGAACTGTGATTTCTGGGAAAAGGCTTTAAAAATTAGAACTTGGAAACTTCTCTGTGAGAAATTTGTATTTCAGTCCATAAAATTGAAAGTGTGTCTTTGCTGATGGATATAGTGCAGTTTTGTTCCACACACAGTGAAACACTCAGGACAGCAACATGCTAAGGATTGTTAAAAGAAACATAACACAATTTCAATTGAAGGAAAAAAATCTGCTAGAATTCCACAGGCCTACAGATAGTTTTCAATGAGAGTGACGACAAAACTAGGGGATGAGTCAGTTATAAACAGTAAACAACGCCCTCATAAACATGTGGTTTTGATGAGAGGTTTATATCGTTTTTTGTTTTTTTTTTTTTTTTTTGAATTTAGCAAGTCTCATTTAAAAGAACCCTAATAGTTTTGATCCTAAAACCACCAAATCCATTACAACTAACATATACTTATGTACACTGGTACCTAAAATGTTACTTCCTCTCAAATTAGAAAAGGGGAACAGGGCCTCTCTAGTGGCACAGGTGGTTGAACGCGGTTACTGTGAAGCCGTCTGCAGCTCTGCAGTGCCGGTTCGATCCCTGCCAGCCACGGAGCAACCCACATGGTGCAGTAGATCTCTCCTGTCTCGCCCACTATTCCCCTCAGCAGTATATTTCGGTCATTCTGCCTGTTCTGTTCCCCGCTCTGTCTCTGGTGAGTCTTCTCACCCTCCCTCACATCTGGCCTGTACCCCGGTTCTTGTATAAATAAAATACATTTTTGTTTCTCTCAAATAGAAAACTTTATGTTGATCAAAAATCAACATAAAGTTTTCTATTTGAGAGAAACAAAAATGTGTGAGTTTACACTCTTGCCACCAAGAAATGAAACCCATCATATCTGAGGGGAAGAAGGGGAAAGAAAAAGGCAGAAAAAATTCCAAATCCTTGCTTTCAGTAAATAGTTTCAGGATATTTGCTTTGTAGGTAGAAAAACTGGGTCACTGCCCAATACAGAAACAACTCTGAACAGTGAAGGCTGTGACTTTGAGCACGACAGGTCTCTGGGTCCTGATCTCCGTCACTTCCCACTACGCCAAGAAAATGCCAGCATCAGGCCCACAGCATCTGGCCAGGGAGCATTAAACGCCAACCAAGCTTGTGTCCACACAACCAACTGAAGCTTCCCGAAGGCCAGGGCAGAGACAAGCGGCCACACGAGAAAGCGGGCACAAGGCAAACGGTGGCGGAAGGAGCTCTGGATTCAGGCAGAGCCCCACGCGCACCGGGAGAGCAACAGCCCCATCGGGCTCAAGCCTCAGCAGCCGGCGACCAGCTGCAAGGCACCTAACACCCCCTGGGGGAAAACTCTACTTTTTATAAGACTATACAGTAAGAGTAGGAACAACCTGCGACATCAGACTTGTGTGTAAGTGGGCTATTTTAACACAAGAACAGGCTTCCTAAAATTTTTCAAACACAGAAAGAATTTAAAATCTGCTCTGAAAGGCGAGGCCGACTCATCGCTGAAGCCACATCGCACTGTTATTTTTTGATTCTGCATCTTATCCACTTTAGGCATTTTACTTTCAGTCAGCTACGCCGCACACCCCAGGAAAAACCCCCAGAGGGGACAGTCAGGGTGCCGAAGGGCCCCTCCAGACACCATGAAGTCGAGACCACCGGCTGCCAGCTCGAGGAGAGCACATCCAGTGGCAGTGCAGTGACACACAGCACGAGGCATGGGTTATATAACAGCTTCACCCCGAGACCCCTCTGTGAAGAGTGCAGAGCACCTCCCAGGGGGCAGGGAACCGGCTGACCTGGGGCGCAGTACATCCTCTCCATGGCGGCGGTGTCACAGGAATCTTCCACCTCGCTCCACCTGCTAAAATACGTCAGCTGAATGTGTCCTGAAAACAAAACGACAGGAGAAATCAAAACATTTTTCTCTTCCATTTTCTGCAGAAGTGAACTGTAATTACTCCTTTTGTAGCTAAAAACAGTATCATTAAGAATAATGGCATCATTAAGTACTAGAAGCTATTACTGGGGGTGAATGTGCCTCACTGATAATGAAGCTCTAGACAGGAAATGAAGATACTAATTACAAGATAAAACGCCTACTCAGTTAATTGGAAGCAACAGCGAATAAAAAGAAATGCATTTGCAGAAGTCCCTGACCTCTATCATTCAATAGGATGTTGTCGGGGTTCAAGTCTCGGCACACGATCCCCTCTCTGTGCAAGGCGTCAAGGGCCACCACCATCTCAGCTGCCCACCTCTGGATGCAGCCCTCCGGGATGGAGAGCCTGGAGTTCAGTGCTAATTTTTTATCGAGGTCCTCAAAAATCTGATGTATCTCCTTGTCGCCTTCTAGAACTAAGCCACTCTCCCCCTTGCACTGAGTGTCTCTCAGAAATAGAGTCGGCTCCTCCTTAGCCACATCATCAGTTTGATCTGTAAACAGCAACACTTCTTCTGTGTGTACAGTGTCTGCGTCGGCGCCACACTCACTAGTTTCCAAGAGCCGGTGAGAAATCTGGACTGAGCTGTCCTCCATGCTCTTTGCAGTCCCTGCCGACTCAGGCCCTTGGGACTCAGGTTCAGAGGCCCACAACAAAGACTCGTCCCCTGAACCACCTTGATCAACAGCTGTCACAAATACCATCCCCAGCTGGCCCTGGGCAATGTGTTTCTCAGCCAGGCTCTGGGCTCTGGGCTTGGCTGGGTCCCACAGTTCCTTGGCCCCTTCAGGAGCCCGGCCCTGCTCAGGGCTTAGTCGGAGGCATAGAACATCAGGGGCTTCCAGGAGTTTACTTTCCACCAGGCCAGCCTGCGTGGGTGAGAACACCGTCGGTCCCGCGGCTGCACCAGCTTTGGGTGCCTCCGACTCACCAGGGAGATTTACAAGAAGGTCGGGTCTTCCTTCATCAGCACCACTGACATCATCAAACGCAGCTTCTTCAAAAGAAATGACAGGGACAGAGTCCTCTGAGCCCCTGCTGATGGTGTCCTGCGCCGTCAGCCTGGCTCCGTGCTCCCCCGCGTCAAAGCCGTGGGAGGCGCAGTCTCCATCCGAGAGAGGAAACAGCGGCTTCAAAGGCTCTGACTTCAGACTGTACAATTTGTCCCCAAAGTCAAGTCCTAGGAGTTCGCTTGTGCTGTCCTTACTGTCGATCCTGAAGAATTCCATGGGACTGTTCTTAGACCGACTGAGGGAATCTGAAGTTCTGGAACAACTGATAGTGGCCGGCTCGCCCTCCCTCGGGAGCCCCTGCAGCGCCTGGGCTCGCCTCCTTCTGCAGGGGCTGTCGCCGGCAGCAGCAAGGGGTGCTCTGGCACTCCCCACAGCTCTGGGGTCCACCTCGTCCCCTTCGGTCGTCATGAAAAGCTCCTCGTTCAGGGACCCCGGGTCGATCTTTTCTTGCCCGTACTCATTGCATAAAGTGAGGTAACTAGTCGTGCACTCCTCTTCCGAGCTAGAGCCGGAATCAGGCCACCCAGGAGACCCACCCTGGCCGTCCTCGTCGTGGATGCTGTCCTGGGAGCTGGGGGTCAGGCTTGCCCTCAGAGGCAGAGCCAGAGGTGTGCTGCCCCCTTCGCTGGCTCTGGACTCCAAGCTGCTGCCGCCCTGGGCGCAGCCCACTGGCGGCTGCGGGGACAGTTTCCTAAGCGCAGATGTTTTCACCTCCTGGATGTCAAAGCTTCCTTCTGGACTTCTGTTAAGGAACTTGCTGATGTATGACCAGAGTTTTCCACCTGTGAACAAGCATAATCAAAAAAATGCTTAATACTGAAGCCATCAGAAAAACGAAGGTAGTCTCGTAATACTCAAAATCAGGTTCGCCAGCCACCCGTCAAGAAGGCTGTGCGACGAGCATCACAGTAAAATGCCGTTGGTGCTGCTGTTGGCAAGCTCATCTCCAAATATCAAGTTTTGTTTAAATGACAACCTATTTCTTCCTCTAAAGGGAAATTCGCTATAACAAATACTAAAATGAAATCTCACAGTCAAAATTCTATTAAAGTTAAATGTGATTTCATTTGGGAGGCTTCTGAATACATTCTGCTGTTTATGAAATCATTTTTGCCAAGCACGGCGCCTTGGTCATGGGGAAACACACAAAGAAGCGGTGCTTGAAACCTGCTGCAGTAGGAAAAACCAGAAAAGCGACTCCACCCTGAATGCCAGTGGGATGACAGGGGGTGCGGCGTCTGTACGTGACTGACTGCCCTGTTCACAATGCCACACTAACGGTGTTTTCCCCACTTCCTGCCCCTACCTGTCACATGCGGTGGGAGGCCACAAGAAGAAACTGAGGACGGTTCGTGGGGCCGCCGTCAACGAGGCAGGCCATCCTGACTATTTGGATATATACCAGAAACCTATAAAACTAAAGTATTAAAAGTCAATTTCACAGAAACCACAAAATTCAAATAAAGACAAAGTCATCCAACATCACCAGCAAAACATGTCAGGTGGTTATCTTCACTTTGGTTTTCCTTTCTTTCACTTTAACCACTAGAAAGTCAACCTCATTTCCTAACTAGAATGCTTGAATAAACAAACCATAATAAATACAAGAAAACCTTCAAGACTAGACACCATGTTATGGGAGGAAAAGTCAAACTGAACCAAGAAATCTTGACAACAGTAAACCGTGGCAGTGCAGTAAGAGAGATACAAGCACAGCTTCCCAAAACGAAATGTGTGGGAAAGGAGTCCCTGCATGACTGGGGAGGCCTCCTCCTCCTGGCACCTGCCTGGGGCTCCATGTCACTACTGAGCATCAAGGGTCCACATTTGCAGGGAAGTAACCACTGACAGACAATCTGATGGACAAAGGGGTGATTGGAAACAGCCAAAAGTCTCCCCCTACTTGGTGTTCTGTGTAGAGGGTTCCAGCGCACAACACGCCCTCTGCCCAGCCACTGTGTCTTCTTCCAGCAGCCACCACCCAGCTGATGGGCCTCTCCGCAGGACTAGAGTTGGTAGGCTGGGGAGTGGAGGTGTCAGACTCTGTCTCATCTTTTCTTAGCATCTTTCCATCCTCACAAGATTATACTCTGTGGCTCACGCGTCCCCATAGTCGACTCATAAGTGGCTGGAGGCATGTGGTCTCAAAAGGCATCTCCCACGGGGCCCATCTGCTCTGTCTTTGAGGACAATGACTGCATGGCTCTGGTCACACCTCCCAGGGAACAGCCCACCGCGCCTTACCTGGAGGCAAACCAAAGAGATGACCCGAGCTGCTCTCACCACCATGAGGACAGGGCCCTGTTGTTTTCACAGGGCCTGTGGACTCAGGCGACAAGCAGCAGGCCACCGCAGCAGATGCATTGCAGCTGTGAGGCTCCAGGGGCCAGCAGGAAGCAAAGGTCTGTTCACACATAAGCCAGTTCCGCCTGGACAAGCTGACAACATCAGAGAACCATTCTGGCACGAACGGCCTGGACCCACCTTGGCTAATTTTCCTCCCTCTTCTTCCCACGTCTGAGTAAGTTTCTGAGCCCACAGTGTCTCTTAGACATCCTTGTATTACTGCTTCTGGCCACTCGGGCTCTCGGAGTAATGTCACAGCCACATGCCCACTTCAAGTCCTCCTCCTGTCTCTCCATACGGCCACTGCCGGGTCATGTTCCAGTTCATTTCTCCATCACGAACCCAAATCCACTCTGCCACAGAATGAGGTGCCAACTCCACACTGGCATGCTAGCCCCTCAGTAATATAGCATCACCCATGATGCCACCCTCTCCCTCAACTTGCACATAATTCATCTGCACTGGATTTCTCCACATAGCTCCACATTGGGCTTTGCTCAAACAAAACTCCATACCTAGAATTTCCCTTCCTATTAGTTTCCCAATATCTGCTGGTCAACACCCTGACCACTCTCAAGGTCCTTCAGAATTAGTTTGCTTTTACCAGATTTTTCATATTTGCTGTGCTCACAATTCCTGTCTTCTCTGAATCCTCCATATCACTTTGCCCCGCCTATGACATTTACAACATTCTCGCTCATACTCTTGTCATCTTTATGATTTTATTATCTCCTTTGCCAGACTGCAGGGTCTTCTGAATTGCAGGGATGGGATCTGTCCATTATGTAATCTAACAGGTATTGAATAAATATAGATTAAATTGCATTATAAAATGATGACATCTTTCAAATTTTTAAAAACCTTTCAAGAAAAAAGGCCTATAACACTAACATCACTGAGAGTCCCACTATTATTTTTAAACAAGTATACAGTTTTATCGTTTAAAAAAATTAAATATAGAAAAGAACAAGGGAAGCCAAAGAAAGTTCAGAATATACAAACTCACCCATGAACACTATTAATGGTTAGCATTATTTATTTTCAGGCTTTTTGCTCACCCCTAATACCACATCATAACATTTTCTAATTGTCACAAGCACATGAATGGCCATGCAGCATATCCATCGGAGAGTGTGGGTCTTCAAATGTTCCTCTCCTGGTGGACATTTAAGTTGCTTCTGGTCTTACTAACTAGAATTAAAACACACATGTTCATGCACAAACATTTGACACTTCTGACTATTTCATCAGACCGAATCCCAGAAATGAAGCATTTTTAATGTGCATGGAAAACTGCCCCAAATCTAGAGTCACACGGCGGGGCCTCCTCCGCGACCTGTGTGGCGGGCGCATGAGCGAGACTCCCTACCAGACCTGTCAAATGCAGCAGTTATTTAAATCCCATTCCTTTCATTACTGGGTAAAAATGTCTGACGTGACTGTTGGCCCCTGTGGGATCTGTCCCCAGCCTACACAGGTATTTACCATTAATTATAAAATCTTCGTTTTCAAGAGAGGAAAGAACTGTTAGCTCGTCTGTACTTTGCTGGGTGCCCCATTTGATAATGCTCAGCATCACACCACAGAACAAAATGTTGGTCTATCAAGTTCTTTTTTTTTTTTCCCCCAATTACGCAATCATGAAAATCGCTGACTGACAGGTGTTATTCCCAGTGAAGTTCTTGCTATAGAAGCCAGATGGGTTTGACTTTCTTTGGGGTTGAAATCAGGTCTAACAGACAAACATACAAATGTCACATTATTACTGTATCGTCCGTAACACTGACCTAAAAAACAAACCCTTGATATTGCTAAATCACAAAATAGAAAATACGTATTTAAAATTTTTAACACTTTACGAATATAAATGATACCTCTCTGCGCTTTGTGAAAGCAGATAAAGTTACAGATATTAGCTCTTTTAAGCTATAAAAATAGCAATTCATAGGGTTTAATAAAACCTCTGTCTCTCATCAGATTTTAATCTCTTGGCTTTCAGCAAAATTGCAAAGAAATTTGTTAAATCGCATAATAGTAATTAGGACTTTAATTTAAAATGTATGCTAAAAAAACTGTAGGATCGATAATCAAAATCTTGTTTAGATCCAGCAATTCTATCTCAAGAAATCTGTTCCACAAATAGTTTTCAAAAAAAAAAAAAGAAAGAAAACACACAAAAATATATAGGTAGAAGTACCTAGAACAATTTTTTTTAAAGATTTATTTATTTATTAAAGATTTATTTATTTATTTATACAAGCACTGGGTACAGTCAGAAGTGCGGGAGGGTGAGAGAATTCACCAGAGCCAGAGCGGGGAGCAGAGCAGGCAGAAGGACCGAAGTACACTGCTGAGGGGAGCAGCGGGCGGCAGGAGAGGTCTGCACGCCACGTGGGACCCTCCTCCGGTGGCCGGGGAGCAGCCGGGGATCAAACCGGCACTGCAGAGGCTGCGGGCAGCTTCGCAACACAGCGCTCAACTGCTGCGCCACCAGGGAGACCCCCTAGAACAATTTTAACACCAACTGATGGGGAAGAATAAATAAACTGCATAATACTTCACTTTCTATTAAAAAAAAAAAAAAGAGAGAGATTTGCAAATACTTAAGTTTCTACCACGTACCAGGCCCTAGCCAGCGTGCTTCACATACATCAACTACCCACTCTCACATCAGTCCTGGGGACACTTCATCATTCCCACCATATCCACAGGAAAATAGAGGCACACAGAGCTTCAGTAGAGCAGCTCCCCGCCTAGGCAACGCAGCCAGCACACAGGAGCCATCTTGGGTGCCATGCTCGGCTCCCGCCCCCGGATCCAGCCCTTTTGCTCCACTGCGTGTGCCCCCACAGCTGCCCAAGGTGCATGGAGACGGAAAAACAATACCAGAACAGCCCATGAGGTCCAGTTATTTTCTTAAACAGACAGGGGGTGTGTGTTTGAATACAGAGGGAAAATTACCCCCTATTTCTAGAGAATAGAACTGAGAATTAAAGTTATGAGGGCAGAAGAATTTTTACTTTACATATGTCAATATATTTGGATTTCTTTTTTATATATTAGTTCTATATATTTTTAACAAACTAGCTGATTTAAAAAAAGAACTCTTACTCCTTGAGTGCCCAAGTAACTTGGGGAGATATTTTTCCCACCTCCATCCTCCTGCAGGTTTTTCCAACTCTTTCCTTCCAACACAGTCCGTCATCTTCCTGACTGACCAGGGGACATTTTCTTCTAAAGGAGGGGACACAGGCCATGCCTGTGACATAATCCCTGATCTGGGGGACTTGAAGCCTTGATGACACACGTGGTCTCCGCCGAAGATGAGCATCTTCCTCACAGCTAAAGGAAGGGGTTCTTTGAGGGGACGATAAACATTTTCAAGCTCTCCTCTAAGTCCTGCCTGGTGCATCCAACTGCCCACTTGAGGCCTACTGGATATTCAGTCAGTGCCCCCCAATAACTTTATTTTCCAGGCCCCCTCCCTAGGTCTACCATCCCACACCTTCCTATCTTAGACCATGGAAACTCCATTCTTTCAGTCAGTGGAGCCAAAACCCGAAGTCCCACAGCCCAAAGCATATCTGCTCGGCCCTCACAGTATACCCCGTATCCCACCCCACTTCCCACCCCACTCAGGACACCATCCAGGCTACCACACCTCACCTTCCCTCTAGCCCTCCTACAATCCCTGCCATGACAGGGTGAGCTTTTTGAAACCCAGGTCAAGCCCTGTCACTAATAAGACACCAACGGTCTCCCAAAGCACTTGGGAAGGAGCCCAAGTCCTCCCCTGTGTACAAGGCTCCCCATTTCTCTGAATGCCTCGACACCACCAGCACCCTCACCTACTGCTCCCCAACCAGTGGCCCCCTTTCTTGAACTCATCAAAAGTTCCAAGTTTAGGGCCTCCCCTGGTGGCTCAGTGGTTGAGCGCTGGGCTGCGAAGCTGCCCGCAGCCTCTGCAGCACTGGTTCGATCCCCGGCCACCGGTGAGGGTCCCACATGGCGTAGCAGACCTCTCCTGCCGTGCCCACTGCTCCCCTCAGCAGTGTATTTCGTCAGTCTGCCTGTTCTGTTCCCCGCTCTGCCTGTTCTATTCCCACACTTCTGACTGTACCCAGTGCTTGTATAAATATTAAAAAAAAAAAAAAAAAAGTTCCAGGGCCTCCCTGATGGCGCAGCGGTTAAGTGCTGGGTTGAGAAGCTGCCCGCAGCCTCTGTAGTGCCGGTTCGATCCCCAGCAGCTCCCCGGCCACCGGAGGAGGGTCCCACATGGCGCTTAGACCTCTCCTGCTGCCCGCTGCTCCCCTCAGCAGGGTACTTCGGTCCTTCTGCCTGCTCTGCTCCCCACTCTGGCTCTGGTGAATTCTCTCACCCTCCTGCACTTCTGACTGTACCCAGTGCTTGTACAAATAAATAAATAAATAAATAATCTTTTTTTAAAAAAATTAAAAAAAAAAAGTTCCAAGTTTATTTTTGCCTTTTATTTCTCACTCAGAAGCCAGTAGCTGCAAAGTGTTTCCTTCTTGCATCTACATGGGTTCCTCATTAAGAACTCTTCCCAAATGCAAATCAAAGCACAGTGGGACACCACCTCACACCAGTAAGGATGGCCCACATTAAAAAAACTGACAACTACAAATGCTGGCGAGGATGTGGAGAAAAAGGTACACTCTTACCCTGCTGGTGGGAGTGCAAACTGGTCCAGCCACTGTGGAAAGCTGTGTGGTAGACCCTCAGAACACTAAAAATGATCTACCATATGACCCAGGGATTCTACTCCTAGGAATATACCCAAGGAAACCTCCACCCTTATGTTTAGTGCAGCACTATCTACACTAGCCAAGATATGGAAACAGCCTAAATGGTCCCAAACAGATGACTGGACCAAGCAAATGTGGTCTATACACACACACAGTGGAATACTACTCAGTGATCAAAAAGATAAACTCGTGCCATTCGCAGCAACATGGATGGAGCTGGAAGGGATGATGCTCAGTGAAATAAGTCAGAAAGAGAAAGAAAAACATCGGATGGTTTCACTTACAGGAGAAATATAGGGAAATTTAACAAAGGGTCATAAAAAAGAGAGAACACTTATAGGCAACAAGAGATCTGAGGCTTAAAGCAGGGGAGTGGCAGGTAAAGGGATCAAAATAGAGGAAGGAGGAGCACAAGGGACACTGTGATGGTAGACAGGTGCTGTGGTGGGAGATTTACAGGGACTACCCCTGAGGGGAGAAATCAAATACTGCATGAAAATGTAAATAAAATTAATAAAAGGAAAAAGAGAGAACTCTTCCCAGAGCCTGGGCTACCTCATATAAAGGAGGGCCTCTGTGCTTAGGGTCACTCCAGACCCACTACGAGCCGATGCTCTGGCGCCTTGTGATTTTGACTAGCCACAAGAACGTCAGTTTAGAAGGGTCTGGTTTACCTTGAAGAGAGACTAGTACATGGTACATCCTCAGTAAATTTGCTGATTAGAGTGCCTATTTTCATTATAACTTACTATCTTTGTATTGTAAAACAAAACATATAGTCAAAGAGACGCTTCCCATCTGCCCCAGTTTAAATAATCCAGGACAAACTCTGCAGCCACTCCACTCTGCCATCCAAAGCCAGACACAGTTGCAAGGGCAGAGACTCAGTAAAGACAGCCTGCAGCTGTGGGAAGCTTGAAAACTATGTGTCTGTGACTGCAAGGCAGATTACTCAGGTTTGCCATTGTATCAAAGGAAAATCTGTTGAAACACCAGTAGGCAAGTGCAGGAGGAGAGACGGTGAAAGGGAGGCAGAAGGGAAACAGAAGTGGGGTTTGGCGGACGAAGAGGAAGGAGGAGGCTGAGAAAAGCAGAGGTAAACCAGGACTGAGAAGTCTCCACAGGTAATCTCCAGCATAATCCACACCGGGTAATAGAATATCGACCATAATTACATTCATCCTACTGACCTTGTTCTAAATTATTATGGATTATTACCACGCGAGTTATTTTGTTCCACACCAGAGGTGGCTGTATTTCGCTATCAGATGACATGACCTCTAATTCAATAATGTCTGTAATGCACTGGTATCCTCAGATAAAAGCTGTCTATAATGTCTGAACAAAGGTGAATTAGTTATCCAATTCACACACACAATTAACTCTCTTAATACCTGTGAGACCATGGAGCCCCCTCTGAATTCCCCATTAAACGCCACATATGGAGGTCTCCCCTCCATCTGTAGTTATCTTGTGCTGTACTTAATAAACAATACTAATAGTTTATTGCCCCCATCAAAAGTCTTGCATTAGTTATCATATAGAGACCTCATTTCACAAAGCAATGACTCATTTTCCCGGGAAAATACATTAAATTCTCGCATTATAACTACTAGTAAAGCACAAGAGTTCTCAATAACATAAAAATAATAACACCTTCATAAAATTTGGAAAATAATCACTTTTTTTGTTATTTTAAGAATACCTCTTAAAAGTCAAAAGGCAATATTTATTATGTGCATTTCCATTTATGCGCTGCATTCAGTCACTCTAAATAAAAAACAATTTATTTAAATTCAGATGCTAAAGTGCCAAACCAAATCAAAACATGATTTTTTTGGCCACCTGTTCCCTCTCCTCAGAGCTGAAATTTCATAAATAGTTTGAAGGCAGAGTCCACGCCCCTGCTTTGTGCCCATATGTGATGCCAATGGCTATATTCGTGAAAACCCAGATCAGAATAACTAGGTAATGTCAAATGTTAAGCAAATGCCCAGGCCTTCTAAAACAGGAGGTAATTAATTAATTCTTAAGGGATGTTTTTAATTTTAGCCATCTAACATTCATGCATCTCTTCAGCAGAGAACAAGAGAACACAATAAAAATGCTAAAATAAAGCCTTGCCCCGCACTCGTCTGTGAACGGGTCGCCCCACGGAGCACTGCCAGGAGGACAGCGGCGCGGGCCTCCCTGGGCTTTCCAGTCCTCGCGCCTCGGGGGCCCAGGAGGCCGAGTACAGGAGTGAGGAACAAGGACAGCCCCTCCCACGTGGGTCATTCCACATCTCAGCTGAGGTCACGGCAGGTAGGACACCAGGAACCCCAGGGGCGAGGAGGGGCCCCGCCACAACCGGGAGCCTGGACGTGGCACTGACCTTCGGCGTGCTGCAGCACGAGGAACACCGACTCCTCCGAGATGATGTACTTGTGCAGACACACCATGTTGGGCACACAGCGGGGGATGATGGTCTTTCTGTTCCGGCTGTATTCACTGCTTTTCCTCAGACCCTGACAGAGAACAAAAAGGTCAGTTGTACCCTCAGCTGCCTTTGGAGCCTGCTGTGCTCTGTGTTTATCAACCAAACTAATCTATCCCAGTTACTCTGGGCTTCAGAGAAACCACTCATCTGCTGCTCCGTGCCCCTCAGTCCCTGGAGGCTCTGCTGATGGCATCTGGCACGCGTCCAGAGCACAGAAGATGCCACAGAGCTGCCATTAAAATCAATTACGTGGGTCAGTATTTTTATTAGAGATGCTCTCAAACTAAGTCATCAGGATGACACACAGTTATTTCTCTATGACCTTTTCTTAAGTTTCCTTTTACTTATGTTTCTCTTCAGAGCAGCAGACGGGGTGAGAGCCCCATGTCCCTGAAACACAAAGGGCTTCCCAGCCTGGACGGGGCACTGCAAATTTCCTTTCCAGAAGAGTGCAGGGGTGGTTCTAAGCCTTCTCCAAAGACACAAGGCGTGCGTGGTTTCTGGCATCACGGCCAGTTTAAAAACCGGGGGACAGGAAGGTCAGTGAGGAGGTCCAAGCGGACAGGGACGTGAGATGCCGTCTGCCTAGCATAACCAACCGCCATGCTGAGGCACCAGCGGGGAGGAGCTGCAACGGACATCGGCCTGGGCTGATAAGTCTGGATCTGAGGAAATGGTTAAATCTGGGAATTTTTTAGAATATGTACTGTCACGGTGCATTCCAAATGCAATTCTGAAACTGCAAAACTGGCAGGTTTTTCTTTTCTTTTCCACTTATAAATTGAGTTATACAGAGAATCAAAATTAAATACAGATCCAAGAAAGAGCCAGGAAATGATGACACTTTCCCAAAGAGCTGGAACAAGAATTTAATAGCGAAACTCGAGCTTGTCCCTGCCAGTGTTCCGCCTAAGCTCAGCCAAGGGTGAGCGGAGGGGTGACACCAAAGGTATGGGCAACGTTCTGAAACTACTGATACATTCAAATTATTTCCTCTGCACTGTCTAACCTGAAACTCTTCTTAAAATGCAGGCTGAGAGTATTTATCAACTGTGATGGAAGGACAGAGAGTAAATACAGATCACCACAAACAGAAAGAACCTTCAAACACCCAGGGAACAAATACCGAATGTTTTTTCTTTCAGAAACATAATTTGAAAATAAATTTCTAAATTCATTAACCATACAAATACCACTTACTTTTAAAATGAACGTCTGTTCTGTCCTTGTGTCCATTACAAGCAAAACCTACACAAAAGACACAAGTAATAATTTATTTACAATTCAGTGAAACATTAACTCATAACAATCTTACAGGGTTTGGGGATGTGTTAGAACTGACTCCCCCATATTAACTTCTGACAGGTTATTTTTTTTTTTTTTTAAGTCACAGGATTAAAGTCACCTTATCTACCAGGAGTTTTAACATGGTTTTCTTTCCAAAAATGTCATATTTTAGATTTATTTTTAAATGTTTCTTTTTTTTACCTTCCTCCACCCTTTTTAAATATGTTTCTTAAAAGCAAAGGAAAAATTCTTTTAGACCAAGATTTTTTCCTCATGGAACATGTATGATTAAGTTGCTTAATTTTTTTTTTTTATTACAGAAATTGAACTTCCAATTTCCTCCCTAAAACCCCAAATGTAGCAACTTGCTATAATGTGATCTCAGTAACTCAGGCCCCAGCCAAAGGCTTCCTTTTTGTACTTACCTCCATCTGGACTCATCCTTATCTCCGCTTTCTCCACATCAAATCCCTGTCAGCTCGATCTTATGAATGGATCCAGAATCCATTCATTGCCCTGAACACCCCACACACCTTCACTGCCCTGAGTCAACTCCTCCTGGCCTTGCAAAGGATTTTTCTGACCCCGTCCCCGCTGCCTGTAGTCTGTTCCCCAAACAGTAGTCAGGGGCTGCTTTTCAAAATGTTAGATCAAGGCACTCCTCTCATCCAGAGAAAAATCTTAAATCCAAAAAATGACCTTCATGATCTCACACACTATCCCTTATTACCCATCCCCTACCATCTTGATGGGTAGGCATGAGCAGAGATGTCCATATCAGTGTTTCATCATTAGGAGACACTGTGGCAGAGGTAGGCAAGCCTCCTTTTAAAGCTCCAAATAGCTACTAAGGATCTTCGGGTCTGCAGGCCCACAAGGCCTCATCCCTACTATGGCTGTGGTAACACAAAAGCAGTCAGAGTTTGAATGTGGCTACCTGGGGTATTGACGCCCCAGAAACCTGCAAACGTCATAGACAGTATCTTTTTCACACTCCAGAGAGCTGGGAGTCAAGGATGAAAAAAAGACACTGAGCTTCAGAACCAGGGGAGTTAACATCAGGATCGATTTGAGAAGATGATAAAAAATTCTTGATAAATTCTAGACGATCAACTTGAGTAATAATGCAACTTCATATTTCCCTCTCTTGGGAGAGCCTTCTCTTAAGTCTCCATTTAAGTTCAATTGAGTATTCTCACAGGTACCTCCTGAACTCATCCCTCTTCCTCCCACAAACCCTGTTTCTCCTCCTATGGCACTAAATGACACCACCACCCACAGAAGTCCCAAAGCTCCCTACATCACTCCCTGCCTGTACAGCCGGTGACCGGGCCCAGACAATTCCACATCCGAGTGTTTTTCACCCACCTTCTACTCTTTGGCCTACTGTGTTCTGGAAGCATTCACTTCACACTACACATTAGCCACGTGTAATCAACGTTACTTCTTTCGACTACCCAATGAGATAATTTTACTCTCTACAAAAATGAAGACATTATAGATAATCTGGTAAAAGTAGTTGGTGTAGTCAGTTGCTGCTTCTCTCTCATCAAACAAGTACTCATCGTTCCACATTCGGCTCAAGCGTCTCTAACTTACTTTCCCTCACTGTATCCAGCACAGGCTGCTACTGTAGTCTCACTTCTAACGCTTCGATTTGGTTTTATTTGTTTACTTGCCTCCCAACTAGAGTTTAAGCTTTTCATAAAGTGGCATGTTGCAGGTGGAATAATGGTACACACCCCTCTCCCAGAGTAAATAAATGTTCAATAAACAGATGTGAATGCATTCAGGCATAAAAGTTTAGAAATTAGATGGCACTATGGGAACGGAGCTCAGAAAGTCAGTCACTTAGACCTGTATATTCTCTGTGAAGACATGCTCAAGATGTGCACACACGCACTGCCCCCACCATGCTTCCTTTATTTCCAGCACTGCACTGGCTTTTCAAGAATGAACTCAGGCAATGCACTCAATGACCCCGAGGCAGGTACATGCTCACTAACCAACTTCACAGGTGCGGGAACCAACCAAACTGCTGACTTGCCTGGCCCACAAAGCTCAGTGGTATTTGAGGTGAAAGTGGCCCCTGCCAGTCTGGGAGCAGGCTGCTTCCTCTTGAACTATTAAGTTGTGCTATTTCAGTCTGAACTTTTTAAATTAAGAGTTGGAAAGGTGAGGGCACACAAGACCCGAGTCAAAAGTGTAATCATCTGTGCCAAACAACGGCTGAGAAAAGGGGCTGCCTGAGGCAGTGAGGGGCTCACCGGTGCCCTTCAAGGCCCTTCAAGGCCGTGCCCTTTGTGCCGGGAGCTGGTGGGACAGGAGCCAGGCCACTCTGAGTTAGCAATGGGTGAGAGCAAAACAGAGGTGACCCCCATAAGCCTTTCCACAGAGAAGTATGTCAGAAGGACCAGAAACACTCAAATGAAGGAGTGGTAGGTACCTGAGGTTCAAACTATTTTTAGGTAGGGTGGACCTGCTCTCCCCGCAATTTCTGCTTGAGTAATATTCACCTCCAAATCTTGGCCCTGCAGAGCACAGAAACACAATCAAAAGGCTGAACCTGGACAGTTAAATGAACACAAGATGAGGGCAAGCAGAGACCCCACAGACTGGCCTCTACAGAGGGCTTGGGATACCCCGCAGGCCTGCAGACAAGAGGCCTGTGACCTCTTCTATTTCGACACCAGGGTGCGGCTCGTACAAGCCTCTCACCAGAACGCCAACCCTTTTTTAAAGAAGGTCTACATGAAATAGTAAAGGTTTCACTAGGTAAAGGGGATGGAGAGCTTGCAAGGAAAACTTCCTGATCCAACCAGGAAGCCGCTTAGCTCAACAGAACACACCTGCAACCAGGAGCCGCTCTGCCGGCCTCACTCAGCCGTGAAGCCTGACGTGGATCGGATAAAAAGGCCAAATGAAGATTAATAAACAAGGATGGGAAGTGCTGCTTTGTTTACATTTGCTCTCTTCTCCTACCAAGTTTGTTTGCAACTAGCCCGCGTTCACATTGCGGCAATAAACACAAGAACATATGTGATTTTTTTAAAATGTGCCCTTTGACTGTCAATTTCTCCCAAACAGGTGTTGGCTAAATGATTATAAATTGGCCCCTGGATACACCTCTTCAACTGAGCCGTACAGGGCTGGTGGTAATATAATTAGTCCTAAAAACATCAGGCTGGCGAATGCTTTCCATCTGTTTGGCAATGATGTTTAGTTAACAATAGTCTTTAAAAGAAGCACCTTCAACTTCAGTTCTTAAAGTTATTTATAGAGCCATTCTTAACACACCAGCACCCCTGCTAACAAGAGCTTTAGCCACTTGGAAATTATTAGCCATACGGCTGGATACAAAGAGAAACGACGGCCGGGAACATCTGTATCTTTCCTAGCGTACACGCTTCACCCTCATTTAAAGTCATTTCTTAATGAACAGTGCTATGGTGCTGCATTAATATTAGAGTTGCATGCACAAAGATCATAAGGAGCCAAACATTTTTTTAATGCCAACAGTAGGCCAATCTGTAATGAAGCTGTCAGCATAAAGGACAAAATAATAGCTTCTTTAACCCTCAAACAGAATTTGTTCATTTGTGGACGAGAACACATCAATTTAAAAACGGCTCATGGGTTTGCTCACCTTTATAAAGACAAAAATCTAATTTGGTACTAATTTGATACAATTGTCTTTTCAATAAAAGGCTCCTAAAACCATCTTTTATTTCATGATTTAACAAGTACTATAACTAAAACTGTCATGAAATAATTATGTTGGAGAGTATACCTTACTGGGAGAATACAATTAATGTGTTTCTTCCTTCATTTTTCACACTTACTTATCAGCACTGTATTAGCATATGGTCTAGCAGAAGCCACTATGCCGCCTTTGCTGTCGTGCAGTATGGGACGGCTGCTCCGAGCTGGAAGGGGCAGATGACGTGTCCCCGCAGGGCCAGCCAGGTCTGCTCAGCTCCACCAGCACTACGCCTGCCTGCCCCTGCTTCACACAGGGGCCAGGAAGTGTCAGCTGCCCTCCAGGGCCTGGGCCTTTTGTTCCCTGGAATTAGAGAAGGCCTGGGATTTCTCGAGGCAGCACTCTAGGCAGCACTCTAGGCACGACAGGAGGCGGGGAGTATGTCAAGGGCATCACCCAGAGTCTATTCAAGGAAGTGAGGTACGTGCTGTAAAAACGCTGTGACTGGGGGGAGGACTGAGGAGAACCTCTCCAGTCAGCAGGCACGTGGGCCATTCCTGGATGTCCCTAGTTACTCAGTTGTTCATTCACAATCTGTGCGTCTCCAAAAATAACTTCAGCTCCAATTCTTTTCAAGAGAAAGAGTTCTTGGATAACTGGAGGGAACATCTATCTCAACTTTGGCACCAGCTACTTCACAAAACAATAAAAGATGAAAAAAGTGTCTAAGCAAAGTCCACCGAGTCACACTGGACAGAACGCCGTGAGGACATCAAGGTTCTACTGCTGCTCACCAGATGTGAGGAACAGACTTTCCCTGTACAAGCCACACCCCTGGGAATTCTCACAACCAGAAGAAAATGGCATCCAAATAACAGAATCCAGAGAAAATGTACCAGCCCAGTTGTGTGAGGAAGACAGCTGGCCTCAACACGGTTTCAGGTAAGATTCTACTTAAGTATAGTTTATTTTATTTTATTTTTAAGATTTATTTATTTATTTATTTATTTAGACACGAACTGGGTACAGTCAGAAGTGTGGGAGGGTGAGAGAATTCACCAGAGCCAGAGTGGGGAACAGAACAGGCAGACTGACGAAATACACTGCTGAAGGGAGCAGCGAGCATGGCAGGAGAGGTCTGCGCGCCATGTGGGACCCTCACCCAGAGGCTGGGGATCGAACCTGTGATGCAGAGGCCGCGGGCAGCTTCGCAGCTGAGCGCTCAACCGCTGAGCCACGGGGGAGGCCCAGTATGGTTTTT